GCAGCGGTTGATAGATCCCCAATCTGCAATGAGTTTACCTTGGTTTGAGTACCACCGTTGAAAGCTTGATAGCGAATATTGATCAATTCACCATTGATGACCTTAGTTGGCAGATCGAGGGACGCTGAGTTCTGAGGGGGGCTATATTGAGGGCGGCTTCTCAAACCTTGGAGAAATTGGCGCAGGAAAAGCAAGGAACGGCTGAATCTTAGCTCTTCCGGGTGGACACTAGACTCAGATACGGTGCCCGTCGACTCCCCCATGGGCCGGTCACTGTGTGCATGTGCAGGGCGCAGATTAGAAGCAGCTGTTTTGAGCTGTTCGACACAGCGATCGACCAGCGCAATGTGAGTAGCTTCAACTGCGGAGCGAGGGGAGCGATTGATTACACTATGATCAAGGTATACTTCGATGGCGTAGCTGGTCGCGTCTGTTTCAATGGTACCAGGCGGCGCAGTCAGAATCATGTTCCAGATTCGCTCCATACCCGGAATGGTCACGACTTCATTCTCGCCAGCAACTGGTGGAGGACGGAAGCGAATCTCATAGTTGACGGCATGTTTTGCAAAGTAGAGGATTTCTTGCGAGTAGTCCTCAGCAGGCGAAAGCTTTGGCAGATACTCGGAGAGGCATCGCTCGATGAAAGGGTTCGCTTGTGCGACACATCGTGTTAGAGTACATAACCTGTCCCAGAGAACTCGTCTACCTTGCTGCACGAGCGATTTGGACATCAAGACCTCACGCCACAAGATATCGCTTAGATCTGGTGTTATAAACTCAGGGACGCTATCGATGATGCGAGACAGCAGGTGTATGCGCGAGAGAAACCCATTCCAAGAGAAAGTATCCTCGATATCGATTTGCTGGTCGGCCACTGCTTTCGTAAGCTCGGCAATCACCAAGCGCGTCAAATCAAAATCCTCGGCAAGCTTGCGGATGCTCGGAGTGTCATTATTTGCGAGAAGAGCATTCAGGGCCTGAATACTGCCAGCCGTAAATTCGTTCATCTCGGCCAAATCTTGGACGCAAAGCTCATAGGTTTCCATTTTGTCAGACTCACTCAAACCAATGTCCATAAAAGCACTCAGTTGGTGGGCCGCAAATTTCTGTAGCTGGGCCTTGTGGTCCACGGACAGCTCGTCAGTGGCAGCACTCTCCCGAATGAGGCGCACGCAAAGGCGTAACGGAATAGCATCCACATGTCCTAAGAGCTCGTGGCGATACCGTTCACTGTGTTTCTCGCGCATATGGAATAGCAACTGTTCACAGAATTCGATCATTCGCGCATCGAAGCGAGCCAACGGGAGTTCCAAGAGCTTAGAGCAAAGGTAAAGCAACGTAGGCGACGTGGATACGTGCATATGAAAAGTTCTCGACAGCATTCCCAATATCTCAGACACCGCTCGTGAATCCGGGCTCTCCGTTACCGTCCTCCATATCGTGTCGGTATCAGCGTCGGTATACGTGGATGTGACCACCAAAAATCCGATGACGTTCCCACTTCTGCTGATCAGCTGCGGATGCGAATCGATGCCAACAATATATTCCACCATACGGTTCCGCCTCAGGAAATCCACCAGGTATTGAACAACTGGGTGATCGACTCCATCGGGGCTTTGCTGAATATGCTGCCGAAAGACAGTGACAAGGTCGACTTGCATCGTTTCCATGCCGTACACTCTGAGTTCCATCCGCCCGTCCATGATGTGCTTCTTCAGTACAGCAAATTTCCAACCATAATAGACAACGAAAGCCCGAGCTTCAAGTGGGATATCAGGTGGGATGTCAGCAGGAATCTGTATGGAGAGATCATCCACAATCTGGTCCGACCATTCTCGACTCCAAAGGCAGAAGTTAAGATATGTGTGCGAGACAGCGCGAAGCATTGGGTCACTGGTTTCGCTGGACAACCAAGAAGACTTCTTGGTGATGTGAAATTGATACTTGTCGTCAAAAGCTCGAACCAAAGGGTAGAGCGCCTTGAGGGTACGGCTGTAGACGGGGGAATTGATCAGTACTTCGTCAACCCCGCACTTGCGTCGCTCGACGCCCGACTCTACTAGGTTATTCACGATGTCGAGGACTAAGATCAAGGCCTGTGACAAGTATGGCCACTGAGATACCAAGCTCGTGAGGCAAGCCGCGAACTCGGACAGTCGCTTAACGATGTCATATGGAGGCGAGGCGAGTTTATCGTTGATACGTGTGATCATATTAGGGACTTCAATGCCAAAGGACTTCTCCATAGCACGGAAGAAAGGGATAAGATTGATCTGCAGTATCCATCCTAGCGACGGCAAATAACCTTTGGACAACAGTTCTGATGGCTGCAAATTCGGGTCCTTGACCGCCTGGTTCAGAAGCAGGGTATCGAGACGAACAATGTGGAGGGCCAGCTGGGCATAGTTGAGGATGAATTCTTCCAAGCAAGCCCACAGAGCCTCGCCTTGCTCCGGTACAAGCACCTGACTGCACAGGTATTAGTGTTCATTCACGGTTGTGATCGGGCGGTCTTGAGGATTCACGAGAACAAGAGGGCTTACTCACATCCGGCGTAGCAAGCCATTCATCATGCTTGGTACCTCTTCCCAAGTATCGCGGTCCTCTACCAAGACTGCATATGTTAAAGAATTGAGGTTGTTCACCACATCGTCTAGCCAGGTCTTCACGGCGTTGAAGATTGTGGTGTCGAGGTCCGAGCCTGCAGGCGAATTCAGTTTGAGTTTCTTTTCCGCTCAAGCCCAGGCGAGAGCCGTACCTTTCTCAAGGGCCACGCTAATCTCTTCCATGCTCTCGCGCGACTCTGTTCCCGGACGAAGCTTCGGAAATGTGTCTATCAAAGACAGATGGTCGCGAAGCTGTACAAGCTCCGGGGTTGCCGGTTCTCGCAGTGCCTCCCCTAGCGGCTTCCAACTCGACGTATTGGGATCCTGGTCCATATCTTCTAGATCTGCCACCTCGATTTCCGGACTCTGCGCAGGCGACGACGACAGGGATATTGCCGCGGGAGCTTCGACACCGGCCCCATCGGTGGGAGCCGTTGGTTGGCTGGGACCGGCCTGTTTTGTCGGCGAATCGCTAGGAGCAGAAGCCATGGTTTCGGAAATTGGAGACTTCACGTTGATGGTCACTCGACTGGCCGGACGAGACGACGGGGAAGCTTCCTCGCCCAAAGTGGCAGGAGCATCGGTGATGTGGTTGGGAACTTGAGAAGCGGAAGTGTCGTTGGAAACGGACCAGGAATCACATGCTCCACTTCCACTGTCGAGACGGGGACGTTTTCGCGTAGAGTGAGGGTCGTTATCTTCCATGGAATCACCAAAGGGACGCGTCGTATCGGCTGAGGTAGTGTCGGGCGGGGTGCTAGAGGTCTCTAGCGGGGCAGCTGCCATAGCATTTTTCTTAGCTTGGTGGAAGGAGGGAAAAGGTTAAGTAAGGTGGGGGTGGGAGGAAGTGTAGTGAAATGGATCGACTAGAGGTGAAGAATGAGGTTGGGAGGGAAAATCAAGAAGGTGATAAGAAATAGATTCTGGTATGGCTGAAGAGATGCCTTAGAATATGAGCACCAAAGGCGTGATGGGGAAGTAAGGTAAGGTTGAGCTTAGTTGGTGTAGATTAGAGAAGCGGAATAAAACGAGGAACCAACTTTGTTTCTTTGGATAGAAGGGAGGATGGAAAGCAGGCAGCTATCAGTTAAGTAGCTGATTCAGTTGACCCATTCAAGCCACAAAGGAATGAATGACTGCTTTTTCTTCCCGAAGAACCGGAAGTAAGATGGGAGGGGGAAGAGCGAGATAGTGGAGGGGGGGGGGGGGGGGGAGAAGGTGTATGAAGGTAGTTAGGTAGGTAGGTAGGTTGAATAACAAGACAGGTAAGGTAAGGGAAACGCGACAAGCTGAATGGTGAATGCAGAGTGGAGGAAGTGAAAGGCGGAAGAAGTGAGCAGCAGTAGACTAGCAGCAGCAGCAGTAGCAGCAGCTCTGAGTGACGTTGCGGTGGAGCTGCGATTCGGCGGGTTAAGAGGAAGAGGGGGTCAGAAAGAGTTCTGGCCAACGGCAGTCCCGCCAGTTGACATTATCTATCCTCTGGTGGTTTAATGCAATCATCACTATTGATTAACTCGGAGGAGAAACATTTGGCCTAATTATAAATTCATTATTCCATACTAGCTCATTTAAGCATGACATCAAATGTTGCTATGAGTGTTAATAACATATGTTCCTAGGATCTCGAAAACCTCATGCCATTAAATCATTTTCTCGTCATGAACCAAACCTCCCCAAACTTCCCTTTCAAAGTGATCATGCAATATTTATTGTCATTCTGTCTCCATTAATCAATCCTTCCCTACGATGAATGCCTCTCCAGCAGGCTCTAGGAATGAGAACCCCTGTCCCTGATCAACCTGAAGCCAAGCGTAATAGACTGAAAGTGTCATGCAGAGAGAGAGTCCAAAGGAAAAGCATTAGATTCTAGGCTAGGGGCGATGCAGTTCTAGGGCCAACACACTTGACACACAGGTCACAGGTCAGGCACAGCTAAAAAGCCCCCGTGAAGCTTAAATTGAACCCATAGTCCACTTGACTCTTTGATCCTTAGCGCGGGGTAGCTTTACCTTCCCTAGACTATTTTAATACTTACGTATTCTATCGCCTCGCTTGCTGCATGGTCCCGGAGAAGGACCGTTTAACCGGTCCCCACCAGACCGTCGATCGTCGCAAAACATATCATATCCCCCCACTTAATCCCTAGGAATGCTGGTGCCGTCTAGGCTATTCCTCAGTGTGCAGTCTGCATTGTCTAATCATCTACTGACAGTGGCAAATTCTGTAGTACTCATAACACCCGTCCCAGCCGAATGCTCAACATTGACCGTAAGATCCCAACTCACACTAATGACAATGTACATACAGTACTGTACAGTCTAGAAACAATCACAATGTGAGGGAGATTCACCCGCTCATGGCAGTCTCAATCTTGCGAATCACTCTCGCCGGATTGCCCACAGCTAAGTGAAAAGCAGGCACATCCTACGATCAGCTCGCGTCAGCATTGTTCGGCCTCATTCATTCTCATTCATCCCTTCCCAAACCCACCTTGTTGACCACACTGCCGGCTCCGATAACTGCCCCCTTCCCGATAGTCACTCCAGGTAAGACCGTCACGTTGCCTGCTAGCCAGCAGTCCTCTCCAATGCGGATTTCTTTTCCGATCTGAGGACCCTTGAAGCCATTCCGCTCAACTGGGTCTAACGGATGCGTGCCGCTGTACAAACTGACCCGAGGGCCAATCAACGTGCGCGCCCCGATTGTTATTGAACTGGTGTCGATGATGACTGCATCAAAGTTGATAAAGGCACCCTCCCCCACTTTCAAATTGTGTCCATAGTCGATTCGAAAGGGAGGTTCAATCCAAGGGTAATGTTCTAGCTGGATATCATCGTCTAGAGGGTCCTCTTGAGGTGGAGGCAGAGGGGTCTGGTCGTTCAGAATGCTGGTGATATCAGCAAAGCTTGGATGACAAACGATCGGATCGTGGTGGAGCTAGAGATAAGATCTGCCTGGTAGCCCGTTGGTACTTACTCTTTCCAGAGCTCCAACATTTGCCTTCGAGAGACTTCGCCCGCATTATTGAAACGGCGACATGCACGTTGACACCGGGCCCGCGCAGCTACGAGTTCAGCGACGGACATAGAGTCAGAATGTTCTTGCTGCATCCACTCCTGACTATTGGAGAGGCAATATGATTGCTTGCTGTCGCTCGTTGTTAGAGACGAGGCTTGCTCGTATCCTCTTGTTGCTTGCGTTGACTTGGGTGGACTTGGGGCCGGGGAGAAGGGTAGAGTGAGCATATGCCCAATGGGGGGCGATAGAGGCGCTTGGATCATTGAGATAGACATGGGTCTTTGTGTACTCGTGGATGGAGGCGAGATGCTCTGGAAATATTCTATGATTATGCCTTTTATGTTTGAAAGGTTGTCGCATATATATCGATTTTCGCGAGAAAGACGTCACAGGCTGACGCTAGCTGGATTCGATATCGTAGAGAGAAGGCCACTTCTATGGCAGGCCATGCGATATATTATGCTCCGACAATGATGAAATATCACGCAGACTGGCAGTTTCATAGGGTATGCTAAGGGTCATGATATCATTTTTAGTATTGCTAAATGCGTAAACCTGGGGAGGATGATACCCCTTTCGGCGTATGGCAGTCCGCTTTGAGTCCAGTACATAGACAGTCTGATGGCATCTTGGAGATCGGTATCTGTACCTGATTCTTCTGGGACCGATCGTCTTTCAATATTGCTAGCTCAGCGATCCAGAGCTATGTACAAGAGCCTTTCGATGCAGCCCTGCGTGCAGGGCCATGTGCATTATTGATGAGTATGATGTTTGGAGTGTTAATAAATCCAAGGTAGAACAGCTAGAGGGATATGCACATATCCTCATTGAGTACAGCTTGAGAAGCCCGCGCCAGACCGTGAGTGGCTACTCCGGCTCGCTTTATTGACTCCCAAGCTGCATTCCATTGACACACCAGCACGAGTAAATGTCCATGAGCGTTGAAGACAGCCTCGCGCTCGTGATGGAACCGCAAACAAAGGAAAGTCCTTGAAAGAGTTCGTGATTGAGTGCGAACTATAAGACCGCCCTACAGCGACGGACCAGAGTTCCCGACCAATCATCACCCCGTGCAGGGCCACCTTATGTAAGACCAGCGGGCAACACCATGGATTCAGCGCGGCGCGGAGGTAGAGAGAGTCCCGATGGAGGGAAACGAAGCATCAACAACAACAATCTTTGTTGTTCCCCACGCCCGCTGCGCTGCGATTGTTCTCGCTCACTTTCAGCAATCCGCTCGTTCAACCAACAGTCTTTGTCGCATCATGCTCAGACACTAGCAAAACCATAACAAAACCCCCGCCTCACCCCCCTAAAGCAATGCATCACCGACATCACCACAACCACCACCCCTAAACACCATACCCAACTTACAACAACAAGGACAGCCACCACCATCTAAACCACCCTAATCGTCAAAATGAGCAGCACACCACCAGCGACCACGACCCCGATCTCCCTCACAACGCCCCAATACCGCGCCTACCAACCCTCGCAGCCGTCGACCCCATCCGCAGCCGCATCCGCAAATGCATCCGCACCCCCATCCGCATCCCCCTCACCCTCACCACCAACACCCCCGCTCGACCCCTCCAACCTCCCCACGGGCACGAAATCCCTCTCGGGAATCTCCCTCCGCGCCTTCCTGCTCGGCACCACCCTAGGCCTCACCACAAGCCTAACCCTCTACCTGCTCCTCCTGACCACCACCCGACTCTGGCGCCTACCCTTCTTCCTCGCCAGCCTCAGCCTCTTCCACTTCCTGGAGTACTACACCACCGCAACCTACAACCCGCGCTTCGCCGACACCACCGCCTTCCTTCTGACCTCCAACGGCTGGGCCTACAACGTCGCGCACGGGTCCGCGCTCTTCGAATGCCTACTCACCAACACCCTAGCCCCAGCGACCTACCACCAGGGCCAGCACCAGTCCCTCTTGTCCCGAGTGGGGATCTACACCTCCGCAAGCACGGAATCCTTCCATGAATACCGCCTCCGATTCCCCCTCGGCGTCGTCCTCGGCCTCACCCTCGTGGTCCTCGGCCAGACCATCCGCTCCGTCGCCATGGCCCAGGCCGGCAGCAGCTTCAACCACACGGTGCAGGTGGCCCGCCGCGACGACCACCGCCTGATCACCCACGGCGTCTACCGCGTGCTGCGCCACCCGTCCTACTTCGGCTTCTTCTGGTGGGGCATCGGCACCCAGCTCGTCCTGGGGAACGTCGCCTGTCTCGTCGGGTATGCCCTGGTACTGTGGCGGTTCTTCCGGCTGCGCGTGAGGAGTATGTTTCCCCCCCTCCCTTCACATCCCACACGTATTCTGTTGAGGGTTGGATTTCTTTCAGGATGTTGGGTCAGGCTAACTTGAGATCTTTTTGTGTCTAGGAGAGGAGAATTACCTCTGTGCTTTCTTCGGGGATCAGTATCGGGAGTATAGGAAGAGGAGTTGGGTGGGGATTCCGTTTGTTTGAATTCTGGGCGGTAAAACCTTTCTTGACAATCGGGGAAGGGTAATTCCTGTGTATTGTGGGGATTTGGGGATTTGGGGCATGGTAGATATGGGAGTCGGGGTGTTGATATCTGTCATTTGGTCATTGATTCCCCATTTCATTACTTTGAGGTCCGATACGTACTGTACATTCTAATCTACCGGAGATCTATTGTATCGACGAGACATGAGCTATGGCTCCCAATAAATGTATTCACAGTTTATGTTCAACAGTCGCGTGAGTGGTATCAAATATCCCAAAGCAAAAGCAAAAGCAACTCCGAACGCCCTTGCGCTCACGCTCATTGCACAACAAACGTCAGCATGCATGCAGCCATCTTCCTTCTGTATATACAATCCGTAAAGAACGCGGGCAGCTCAGAGCTTACTCTCCCTCGCAACACTTCCAAGGGCGCCACTCATCATGAACGCCCCTTCAGCCTCCGCCCCGGCCCCGGCCCCTCCCTCCACAGTCGCAGCAGTCACCGAGTCACTCAGATCGGCGGCCCCATAAAGCACCATCTCGCGCCCGCCCCGCGTGCTCCACCACGTCACGCAGAAATGGGCGCGCTCCACGTCCATCTCGCCGTTGCTCAGGGCCTCCCAGAACCGCTCCACGCAGAGCTTGTGCATGTCCGGCGCGCGAATCGCGGTCAGCAGCTGCGCGGTGAGGGGAAGCCAGTCCTCCAGCTCGTCCACGTGCAGGAAACAGAGACTGTCGATCAGAGCCAGCGTGAGGGCCGCCTGCTCGGTCACGGGCGGCGGGGCGTTGAGCTCGGGACCCCCTTCGTCGGCGTCGCCTGGCGCCGGCTGCGGGAGAAGTTTGTCGGAGTTGGCGTGCAGGGCTCGGTCGTAGAGAACCTCCAAGAGGACAGACGGGAAAAGGGGCTGGCTGTTGGCGATCGGAGAAGGGGGTGCCGTGACTTGGATGACGGTTTTGAAGGCGAGGCGGAATTGACGGGCAGAGAGGTTGTCGGGGAATACCTATGGGCAGTTGGTTAATCGATTAGATTACTAGAAGCAGAGACGGAGTGGCTCACGGCAAAAAGATTGTCGATGTAGAAGGGTAGGTGTTTGGCTGCAATGGTTGCGTTGCCGGGGATGGCGAAAACAGCTAACACCACACTGTGGGCAGCTTCGAAAATCTCGAGCAGATGGTTGTTGCCGCCTGCCGGAAGATACGGCGTGGCAGCAGCGATGAGCAGCTCCTCGCTGAACGTGGAAGACAAGACGGGAGTAAACAGCTCGGAAGTATTGAGGAAGAAAAGATCCAAGCATCTTTCCACCGGATGGGCAGGGATTTGACCCAGCTCACTGGGTTTGATGCTTCGAAGGAAGTTCTCGGTCAAGTCAGGGTATTGCGCAAGGATATCCACCGCAGTCAAGGTCACAAACACATGCTGCGATGAAGCATTCTGACCAATGCGAGACGAGATGAAATAGAGGTTGCGAAGTATGTGTAGAGCTTGCATGGACAGGAACGGCGCACCTAGTAGAGGTTAGTATTGCGATTCAGCACGAGATTCCAACCGAGTCACTCACTTTGATGAGCAGCCAGTATATGGTCATTGAGAACCCTTCCAAGAACAGCCCGAAGAACAATCACGATCGAATACAAGCAGTTGCGAAGCAGTTTCCAGAGCCCCGGAATTGTGCTCCTTAGCGACTCCGGATCCAGGAATTCCGCCTCTTCAGCCCGATCGACTTCCGACAGTTTGTTCTGACGCCACTGAACCATCAACGTCCGCACAAAGTCCGTGATCTGATCCATGGATCGTGCGACTAACCCTGGATCTTGAACATTCTCAACCGCGTGGGCAATGAGTCGGGACAGAGGGCCCAAGGCAGACACGAGCGGACTCGATGAAATTGCCGACACGCGAAGAAAGGTATCGGATTGTGGCGACCACTGAAACCGTTTCCCAGGCGCTTCAACAACATCCTTGTCAACGGTCCCAAGAAAGTACCCTCCTTCAAGGCCTTCCGGCGATGCGAACGTCGCATTGACCATAACTGGCAATAGGCGATCGTAGTCCAGCCTGCTTTTCTCGTAGTCGGATATGAGCTCGAAGGTATAGTTCAGTACCATGGTGATGCACCGACCATCAACCTCATTCTGGGGATCCAACTCCCCGAGAGCAAATTGAGCGGCCGTCACGAGAGCCGACTCAAGCTTCCTTCGGACCTGCGATGGTAGACCCTGTCTGTTTTGGCCTTCGAAGCCCAGTAGGATCCCGCCAATCAGAATAACATGTCGCCATCGCGGCGACTTGTCGTCTGCTCCGTTGACTACCGCCTTGACCCAATCTTCGCGCTCAATCTTCCGAGGTTTCATGTACGAGACTCTAATATCCTCCGATTCTTCATTTTGCAGAAGTGCAATGGCGGCAGTGTTGAAGACGCTGAGGATCTTTCGACATGCAAGAAGATCGACAGGACCATGCCACAAGGCTGGAGCGGCTAGCAGATTTGATGCAAGTAGGGTGATATTCAATGGGTTTCCGAGCACATATAAGAGGCTCGTTGCCGTCGGAAGCAAGCTGGCAGATAAGGCAGTCAGTGGATGTTATGAGGCCATCGCCGGGTGCAGTCTGACGTACGCGAGGACATCATGCAAATCAGACGAGGTCTGAAGCGACCGCAGAAGAGCACCCAAGGAGCGCTCTGTTGCCATCTTGGGGGCTGAGAAGTATAGTTGTGTCCGAAAAAAGGGACATGAGCTGCTGAAGAAGACGTCCTTAGGAAGAGAGGGAGAGATAAGACGGAAGAGGGCCGCGGCGATGTTACCGCGGAGAACCCCAGATCACCTGCCGAGGTTAAAAGTGGGTATATTCCCACCGTCTATCGCAAACAATGCAAACAAGCTTGCAGCCACTGCCAGCCACCATCGGCCGTTGCGGATCTTATCAGTTGCTCCCTCCTTCTCCTTTAACCCCATTCCAAGTGAATGCATTCTAACGTCTAGCTGGTATTATGGTTTC